AAAAAAAAAAAGGAGTCAGGTATGCTGTGTAATTCAGATCCTTTGATAATATAATAAGTATGGCATTTTGATGTTATGCTTTGCAAATAACTGAACCTGGTGGCTGTCTCTGTCAGGCATTTCTTTCACAGGTAGCAAAACTGAAGAGCTGATGTTCTAAGCAAGTTAATTTTCCTGCTTTTTTGCAGTTAGCAGCTGAGTAGGGAGAATAGACTGAACAGACTTGGTTGCTAGTTTTCCTGCCTCATCATCCTGACTCCAATACAGAATCAAGATATTCTGATTACATGGTGTTTGCCTCTGTGTTACATTTCCTGTATCATTGTTGCTGATGTACATGGTCAGTGGTTTGCTTAATTGAGACAAGGCAAACTTTCAGATAAAAATTCAAATGAGAAATGTTGTAGATAACTGTTATAATTGTGAAGCAGATATTCTGGCACATAAAGAATTGTCCCAACTGTATTGGTTGGTCTAATTAAAATATGTAACTTCCACCTATCAGTCTTGCTTCTCTGAATCTTAAATCATTTCAGTTGTAACAAAAAACCCTCTGTTTGAGGTTTATGTTAGTAAATTCAGCATTGCTGCTGGAATATGCTGCATCTCCACAGGAGGGCTCTGCTGGCATAGCTATGCTACCACACACTGTGGGATGGTCCTGGGATTTTCGCCTACTCGGTTTCTTTTCCATATCCTGAGTAGAAAAGCGGGTGTTGGAGCTGCTGGCTGATGCCCTGCCTGTGGTCCAGCAGAGCATTGGAAAGGCAGCTGTTGAAGAACCATGAACTAGAAGGATAGAAGCGTTCCTTTTGTGCCAGACTTGTCTCCTTCCTCTAGCAAGAAGAGAGATTCAGGTGCTATTGTTACAAACAAGTACATTGAGGGAAAAAAAAAAAAAAAGCTTTAATTTCATTTTTTTAGCATACCTTGCAATTGGTCCTTTTTAGTAAATGTTAAGAGATTGCCAGTTACCTGTTGTTAATGAGTTGAAGTGGGGGGAAAAAAACATATATTCTGTGTCAGTGGTACGTCTGATGTCTGAGACAGTTCATAGAGCTATAAGAAAGTTGAAATTCGAGGCTATATGGAAATACAACAGAGAAATGCGAAGGCAGAACTTAAAAAGAAGAAAGCATACTAAGCTTGTTTAAAAAAAAATTGTTGTTGTTATTGTTTTCAGTGGGACAGGAGGTTGTTTGAGGGTTTGGGTATGTTTGGGTTTTTTAAAATATTAAATCCAGCTGTCAATGCCCAAGTGGCAAGAATGGGAGCATTCTCCAGTGCATACTCTGGAATTAAAATGCCTGGAAGCCATTAGTACCAATATGTGCTGTTTGTATTGCTGAGACCTTATCCTGCCCAACAGCAGTGATGGTGGCACTGGTGGAGAGAAAAGCAGACAACCTTTGCTGTGTTATGAAACTTAAGAACCTTGTCTGCCTTCCTCAGATGCTGAAGTTTCCTTTCTCCCAAGGGACACCGAAGTGATGGTGACATCAAGACACAGTTGCAACTATTGTGACAAGCAGGAAATCCTGCCTGGTCTCAACAAAAGCAGGGAATATAGATCTGCAGCCCTTCCGCAAAACTTCTGAGTATTTGCATTTACATGCTTTTGGTGTGAGTTTTTAATGTAAGACAGCAGAAAGAAGGTCAGACAAGAGTAACGTAGATAAAGTTGTGGTTGTGCACACAGTGCTGCTATCTAGCTGGCTCCTTGTTCAGCTAAAATAAAATTTAGTGGGGATTTTTTGCTGTTTTTTTTAAAGTTATTTGACTAGGATAGAACCATTCCCAAGGTTGGATTTTAACCCCTGCAGAATCGCAGCGTTTGGCATTGACTGTCTGAATCATGAATGGGAGGAAAGGAAAATTGCTTGGAGGAAAGTAATTCTATTTAAATTAAACCACCTCTGACGTGTAAAGACACACACATAGGTTTCGAGGCAAGAAATTAAGGCATTAAGTAATTCTTTTTCTTTGTTAGTTTTTTGGTCTGGAGAAGTACCAAACAAATCTCATAAATACTTTTTGACAAATGATAGGTTTAAATGCCTTAGTCTTGGCTCTTCTGCATTATACCTGGCTATCACATGAACCGTAGCAAATGAAGCTGGGGATTGGAGTTTTCCTACATCTGAGTCATTGGTACTAACAGTTTTTTTAGGAAGTGTGAAGTCTTTGGATTATAAATAGTTTTTCCTTAACCATTTTCAAAGTTGTTATCACACCATGAGCATGTTGCCCATCAGACTAATTTTTGTGAGACCTCTAACTGCATGCATCTTACGAGAAGCGAAGCTGTCTTCTGAATCAACATAATGTCTCAAGTTTGAATTGAAGTGCATCATCATTAGATGAAATGATACTGTTCAGTACCGAGCTTGCTGAAAAAATGTGTTCAGTAAAACTCTTAGGATGCGTGGATTTGGAGACTTCAACACATCTTAGGTAAATATAGCATAATACTGCGCATGTTTTCTGCTCGTTTATAACAAAGAGTGACTCTGGTAAGAACTGTTCTGAACTCTTTTGTAAGAACTCACTTTGCAGAGGGCAAGATCCTTACTGTTTCTCAGTAGCTAGCAGCCTGTACTTGGTGTTTATAAAAAGCCTTGTGATCCTCTGACAGCTGTATGTTTTTGTGGTAAGTGAAACTTTGTATTAGCTACGTATTGGTTTCCATCTTAACTTATTTTTATAATTTTGGACTTCTTTTCTTTAAAGCAGTTAGCGAAACTTGATGTAAATATTTTCTCTTTGATCTAGACAACATTGCTAAGTCGTCTGGAACGAATATTTGAAGTCTGTTTTCCTTCCATACCTGTTCTCGAAATTGAAGAAGAAATAAGTTCCTTGAATGATTTGTTGGAAGCAGGTGAAAAGCAGATAACAACTGAGGAGACCTTAGCAAATACTGGGTAAGAAGCCACAATGCAACAAACTTAAAATGAAGTAGAAGCTTGTTGTCTTTGGGAAGTTAAAACATATAGCAGTAATTCAAAATGAGTTGTTTGCTTCAAGCGTTGTGAAAAACTGTTGAGTAAAAATTAACTATCTAGCAGAATATTTGTTTTCAGTGACTACATATACCAGGACTATTTCACTTAGCATATCAACTTAGTCAGCAGCATATAATCTTCTTTTAAGTGATGTCTCTGGAGTTAATCAGCATATGTCGTATTAGTTACAGTTGATATTAATTGCTCTATTTATTCATATGATGATGAAGTCTAAGTAGGCCTTGTCCTGTCTGCTGTGGACATCGTTTTCCAATAATAAGTCTGAACTATAATTGTTCTGAGAACACTGTGCAGTTTTAGTTCCTCTGGGTGTTGTGCTTGGGCGTAAGTTTAATTGGAACATATAAGTCGCTTGCATTAAAAACTGGAATAAATATTGAAGGCTGCTAAGCTCTTATTCCTGTTGATAACTTGATTTATGATGGGTTGTATAGGGAACTGATGGATGTGTGGACAGAGCTGCAGGATATCCATGATGCATATGGACTGAGATACCAGTGGGGTGGCTCCCACAGCAACAAAAAGCTTTTGTGCTCCTTGGGAATCGACACAAGAAATATTGTGAGTCTGTCAGTAAAACTTGCTTTCTAAATAGTAGAGCTGCTTTAAATGTGGAATCAGGTGGAAGCCTTTCTGTATGAATGCTTGTCTCTTAATTGCATAGCTGCGCTGAACACGGCTTTTCATGACAGACCATCTGACAGCTTAACCTCTTATAGGTCCTGTTAATAGTAGAAGTTGCATTAGTTTTTAACTGTCGTGTTTACATTTAACAAAGTATTTATTCTTTGATATTAATCTTATACAAGTTACATCACATTGAAAGAAATATTATCATCAATGGTGCAAACTCTTACGTAAATTCTTTTTCTTGTTGTTTTGTCAGCTCTTCACAGGCAACAAGAAACAGCCTGTTATAGTACCCATGTATGCAGCAGGACTGGTAAGCTTTTTTTAGTGTTATTTTTTGTTATAGTTCCAACAACACTATGGAATGAAATATATTAAATGACATGGAGCACCAAGTATGTTGAAAGATATTTTTACAAGTACAGTTAAGGCTTAGGCATCGCTCGAAATGCTAGAAAAGGATCATCAAACAATTTTTGTGATGTGTGCAAGCAGGTATTTTAATTGATTTTAAATGAAGAAAGTATTGATTTACTTATTTCATAGAGCAAACTATTTATCTGCCAAGGTGAGGGCTAGCCAGTCTAAGCTCAGTTTGAGACATTTTATGAAAAAGGTAAAATTTATCCAAGTAACAGTTTAATGTTCATGCAGCAATAAAAAGTTCTTGTTGAATTTTAACTATCAAATATAAAGTTTAGATGTGAAAATGTCAACTAAAACTCGACATGAGAAACTAGATGATTAAATAGCTGTCAAAATGACAAAGGAACATGAAAATTAATCACATCTGCTGAAGTGAATTGATGTTTTGGGAAACCCTGGTGCTAAGACCAGATGCTTCAAAGGAAGGTTAAGAACAGCTAGATACTTACGGTATTCCATTAAATGTGTGTAGGAAGTTTTCTCAGCTCTCTTGAGCATTCTTCTTTGTGAAACTATTTCTGACAGACTGTTTATTAATCACTGAGTGCATCTCGGTACCCCTAGATCAAGAGAAATGCATGGTTATGCTTTGCAGTGTTACTGACATATTAATAAAGGACTTATATTTATATATTAAGCTATTTATGCATTCCAGAAGTGTTGTGTAGCCAGTATTGTTGTGTTGCCCCAAGTGCTAAATAAAACCAGTAAGCATAATTTAGATTTCTGTGCTACACTAGGTTACTTGGGTTTCCTTCAGTCTAAAGTCAACTGTTTTCATTTAAGCCAATACTCTGTAATTCCTATTTGATGTTTCGGACTCTGTGCAAGGTCAGCAGTAGTAAAAACATTCAGAAGATAAGATTTGCTCGTCTGAGCAGAACAAATAATGTTGTTTTTTTTTTCTGGAAACCTCTCTCTATATGTGTGTATATATACACTTCTGTATAGTCATTCACAAATTGAATATAAAAGGATTAATATATCTTTGGTATATATTAAACCAATTTAATCTGTAGGTTAATTTTGTAGGGTGACTTCTACAGTCAGTTTCTAGAGCTGTTGTTTTCTAGTGCATCAAGGTCAGCTCATGCGCTTCTTTGGATGTAACCATGGTGTTCTGATAGAGAGGTAAAACATCTCGTAGCAGTTGCTGTTTTCCTCCTGTAACATATTTGTGAGCAAAATAAAATTATGTTTGTATGTAACACGTGCAGTTATTTTTTGCAACAGATTGTTGTTGCTGATTAATTATCTTCTAAATTGTTTATATACTTGTGGATAGGGATGATGGTAGGAGTAAAAGTGGCTTTCTTTTGCCACCCTGCTTCATGTGTTTCTTTGCTGTCCAAAAGAATTGATTTAACTGGTGGTTAAATTCCAGGCTCCTCTAACAAGTTGTAGAAACATCTGCGGGACAGCTGATCTTGGTGACTGATTTCCTGAAATTATACTAAAATATGTTACTAACAAGTTCGATGGTTTTATTTGAGGGTTTTCTTTCTTTCATACCTCATTGTTCTGAGATGGTTTGCATGTCTCAGTGCAAATTTTTGTCTTTCTATAGATGTTTCTCACCCTCAGTTTTATTCAGGAACATCAGATATTTCAGACATTTTTCATGGTACTGTTTAGCTGTTAACAGTTTGTGTAGAATTAAAAAGAAATGTGGGTTTATTTTTTTTTTTTTTTAAATGCGTTTATTTCCATGTCAGTTGCTACTATTCTTGATATCATTCTACAAACTAATAATTTGACTTATTTCTTCTGAATTACTTAATTGTTGAAATGGAATGAATGCACTTGTACTTTTTGTCATGGGGCGTTTGATGTTTCTGGAATAGTCTGCACACAACTGAAGAGATTATGTCGCCTTATCAAGTAACTGTTTCCTCTAGCTTAAATTACATTACTGAAAGTTGAAAGCAAGCTGCAGCTTGGTTTTCTGTTATTGGCTTTTAAATGTTTTTTAGGCCTAAGGAACCAGGATGATTCTCTCCCCTGCCCCATCTGTTTCTGCCCCTTCACAGGAAGTATCCCAGAGGTGTATGGTTACCCCTAAGCCTCTAGTTGAGGACCAAGTAGTGTGGTTTTTACCTTTGTGTGTCTCTGTGAGTGCATGTGATCTTTTGTGATTTTTATTTCTTTATTTAGGGTATGTTAGAGCCTACCAAGGAACCTTTGAAACCAATATCTGCAGCAGAAAAAATAGCTTCAATAGGACAGACACCTCCTATATCACCAGAGATGAACACATGTACATCTGATCAGTTCCAGGTAAAAAATAGAGAGGAGGAAAAAGAGAAAAAGAAAGAATGGGGGAAACAATGGGACGCCTTGCCTCTTCCTTCATGTTCAATGTATCTAGATGGTGTGTTCAAAGACACCAGTATGTAAAGGGTAGGTGTTCCTTGTGTCAGACTGAAGTCCTGCTCTTGGATATACTTCTTCATGTGTGACTGGATGGGAGTCCCTACGATAAGACTGTAGCAGTTGGTGGCCAGCGTTTAAGAATCATGATGATATTTACTGCTATACAGCAAGTTGCTTTAAAAGGCAGTGGACAGTTACTTCCATAAATTTTGGATGTAACTTTAGACTTTTTCTTGCTCAGGCTAAGGCTCTTCATCTTTACTTTTTCTGAAGCTTATTGTAGGAGATCATTCTACCTGTTGGTTAGTTCTTGGTTTTGTCTGAATTATCATAATTACATGTATACTATTCTTACTCTTTTCCTTTTTCTCTTTCCTATCTCCTTCAGAGATAGCACAAAAAGCAGCCCAGCTGTCTGGAAAGAGATTCTGGATACAATCATTACTAGCATAAGTTCCTGACTTTTCGAGTGTGTGAATTCTGCTGGCCCTCGATGCCAGATTTTATTGAAAGATTATCTGTTGAACAGCTCAAAGTTGCTTCACTGGATTCTCTGTCTTTCAAGCCTGATACAAAATGAGTTTAGAGGAGTTTAGGAGTGAGCTTTTGAATTCTGTGAATTCTGCGTTGCTGTTGTGGTGGTTGTTGTTGTTTTGATATTCTGAAATTAGAAAACCACTTAAATGCCACGTGTGTTGCAATGTGTCTGATTGGCAACTAGCTAATGGGAGATAGAGACATTTAATTTTCGATGGCACCACGGTGGTGTTCAGCATGTATTCAGAGAGAGTCAACTTTGTCCTTCCTTAGCACAGATCTTGTTTAATCTGCCAGCATCTTTTGTCACCTTTTCTGCTTATAACTTCTGATTAAAGGTGTTCCAGAATGAATCATCCTTGTGTTACATATAACTTTACTTCTGAGTGTAGTGATTTCTTTGCATTCTTTGCTCTGCCACAGTGCAGAGCTCTAACTGTGACATGCTTGTACCAGAGGAGAAAACTTTTTCCATTCTGGAGTAGCAGTATGTCAGTGGACTCAGAACTGAGGTTGTTTTGTATAGGAATATACCTATTTGGTGATACTTCCAATACTGATTCTCACGAATACTATAGTGGAATAGAGCAGCTGAACTGGATATTAGAAAAGGTAACTGATGATTATTGCAGCCAGTCTGAGCTGAAGAAATCACTTGTGTGTTTTCTGTGTATGAACAAAGTAGGAAAATTTCACTATAGTGAAAACCTATAGTGTAGGGTGTAGCAGCAACTCTGATGTGCCATTCTCTCAGTTGCCTGGCAGCCCTAGTGCTGAAAATAAGAACCCCTACTTACTTTTTTATTCTCTCTAATTATGAATATTTTGTACTTTTGGGTACTCCTGTGGCAGAATTCCCCATTACTTGTCACAGTTTGATAATCTTGTCCCATAGCTTGTTCTGACAAGACCATCTCAGTTCAGTAGTTGTAGTCCATGCATATATGCAAGAAGCTTCTATGCTCTCTGTCTGTACTACTGGCCTTAGGTTATTTTTTTTTTTTTCAAAAAAGATAAATACTAGAATAAGCCTTTGGGGAAGAGATGAGTTGGAGCTCTAACTGTTACGAATACTAAGAGGCCACAGTTAAGTGACATTCAGAAGTTTCAGGGCATGAACAATCAATTCTCAACCTCAGAGACCTTGTTGCTTTCTTGGCCTCATCTTCTCTTAATGTTTGGTGGCTTCTGTTTGTTTCTGGGGAAAATCCAGCTTCACTTCACATTGTGCAAACTGCCTCTTAGGAGTATTCCAGATTGTCGTGATATTAAGATGATGTGCCCAAACTTTGCTAATCATTTCATTAGGAACTGTGCTATAAACATTGATAAATATGCAATGGAAATATAGACAATTTTAATGGACCCTGAAACTCCTTATTCTAAACACACGTAATTTAGGTGCAACAATTCAGGTATCTTTAAGCTTACCCGTTAATGTGTAATTATTTAGTTATAACTTCTAAAGCCCTTATTTTCAGATGGTGATAATGGTGGGTCATTCTTATATTCAGAAACTTCATAATACGGTCTCTTTTGTTGGAAAGAGAGGCTCTGATTAACAGATTCTTATTCTGTGCTTGAGGAAAAGAGGAGAGTTCTCCTTTGAAAGCCTGGCATTTATGGGACTTGTGTACAGATCAGTGCCTGTATGTGTTTATGACT